TTGGAAACTACATCGATCAATATATCGACATACTGCGGATTTGCAAATTTATAACACGAATATCGATTTATTAGGGTGAGATTCATATCAAGATCTTTCATGCCAAGGGATATATATCTCATATATAACACTTAATGTAACAATTTTCTAAAGGCGGAGCGAAGTAACATCGTGGGCGTGGCCTACCCACTCTATCGCTTTGTTTAGCCGAAAATTCCGCCCGAAATTGGCATTGGTGATCGAACAAATCGCTCAGATCGCTTTCCATAGAGCCCACCCGAAAATGGCAACGGTGCTCGTTTACCGTATAGACCTAAAAATCGATAATTGATCATTTGGCTTAAGTCAAAAGAATTTTTAAAAGAGTACCTCCGGAGAAAGGCAGCACAGGTGATCGTTTACCATATAATCCTCCAGAAAATGGCATCACAGCACGCGCTCGTTTCTCGCCCGATCCTTAATTGACAATTTTAAATAACTTAATGATATATTTGTGCGGTTCTCTGATTCGCGCAGTACTGGGATGCTGGGGCAGAGCTTTGCGGTTTTGCAATTTCAACTTTCAATACACCTTCAGTTCTCCACTACAAACAGTTAGTGACTACATGCAGTTGGGAGATCGCGACAGGCGCAGCAAAACTTTCAATCAAAATTTCTTCATTGGCTTACCTGTTAACAGAGGTCGTTCAAAATCGTAGGCACTGCTTAGCGCACCCGATCGTTTGCCATATAAGCCTGAATGAATAATCAATACAGCAATTTGCAGACATGAAATCAGAAGAGAAATTGATATAATAATATGATGAGCGGCACTCGATTTACTAACCTCCTGAGAACGGTAATACTGCTCGCTTTCCATATACTCCACCCGAAAATGGGACTGCTCTCCGTTTTCCGTACAAACCTAAAATTTGGATTAAGAAAACTAGTTTTCAACGATTTCATTCCTTCACATATCCGTACCTCCAGAAAATGGCATCGCTGCACGTTTTACATCAGAACGAGTATTTCGCAAGATAGCTTCTGGAGTATAATCAGGAAATTGCAACAATACCACTTCTGGACTAGCCGCGGACTCTAGAATGCTTCTAACTTTCTCGATTTTATTTCTTCAAGTTTTTCGTGTCATTACGACTATTGCACTGAATTGATCTATGAACTTCCAAGGTCATGAACTTCCGATACTACTCCACTTTCTACAAAAAAAGGATCACGATATTATATACGTAGCAGTGGTAGCGCTTCATCGTGGAAACGATAAGTGCAGATAGAGAATCACGGATTTACTTGAAAACTTACCTAA